GGGCTGTGTGCCCGGCGGGGGGTCCTCAGGGGGAGGGCTGGTCCTCCAGGTGTGCACCAATCTCTGGAGGCCAGTGTTCCCCGCTGATGGGAGGGGCAGAGCCTGTGGCCCCGAAGTTGAGGAGCGGCTGTCTTTGGGGAGGTGCAGGGTCAAGGAGAGGCGAATACCCAGGAGGCTGGTCGGTGACCTTTATTTTGTGATTCCGAGGCCAGCGCGGCCGCCTGGGGATATTTATTCCGGGCGCCGATGGCCGGCTCGCTCCCGGGCGGGCCGCTCGGCCCTTGAGCGGCCCCGAGGGCCGGTGGCTGGGCCCAGAGGGCTTGGGAGCTCCGCGGGGCCGGGAGAGGCCAGGTGGGTGCGAGGGCGAGTCTAGGACCTCCGAGAGCGGTTGCGCTTCTTGCTGCGAAAATCGATTAATTTCTGGGAGTGGATCTTGAGCTCCGCACGAGAAACCAGTTCGTTGTTATCGTCCTCGGTCTCCTCTTCGTCTGGGGGAGGAGGGGGGTGTCCAGGTTCTCAGCCCTGCTCAGATTTCCCTGCCCAGCCTTTTAGACCCCACCTCACCTCCCACAGCCCGTTGCTCTGTTGGGCCCCCGGGCCCCCTCACCTCCCCTTTTTTCCCCGCCCGTACTGACCAAAGAACTTGTCCTTGGGAATGGCAAGGGGGAAGGTGATGCGGGTGTTGTGCGCGGGCAGCTTTCCCTCCAGGTTGGAGTAGAACTGAGGAGGAGGGGGCGGGAGAGACTGTGAGTGGGGCAGGGGCTCCCGGGATAGCCTGTTACCCCTCCCTCCCACTCCATCCAAGATATACCCTGGTTCCATACAGCCCCTCTGCCAACTCCTGTTTAACTTTACTTGGGCCCAGCTGTGGCCTTCCTTCTCAGCATGCACCCTGATGCCCAGTCCCACCTCCTGTCCTCCCGCCAGGCCCGCCCCTGGTCCCTGGGGCCCCGCCCCTTGGCGTCTCGAGGCTCCACCCCTGATGCCCCACCCCACCCCACTCTGCCCTCTGCCCTCCCAGTCCCATTCCTGGCCAGCGGCCTTCTCCCGGGTCTCCCTGGGGTTGCCGCGGCTCCCCGAAGTGCGCCCTCTCCCTGGGTACCTCGCGATTCGCGATGTGGCGCAGCATCTCCGGAATGTCCTGTCTGTCTAACTGCGCCTGCAGCGCCAGCAGCTTCTCCTCCACCAGGCCCAGCAGCTTGGGCAGATAGTCACTGGCCTTGGGATCCAGCTCTTTCACAGCGGAGCCCCCGGCCTCCTGCGGCGGGGGAGGAGCTGTGTCAGTTCGGAGGGGTCGGGTCTCGGGCAGATTCCACCCGGAAGGGGCTTTTGCTTCCAGGGGTCAAGCCTTTGAAGGTGAGGGGCCACCCACAGGGGTGGTGCTATCCTCTGTAGGGCCTTGGAACTTCAGACGCTGGACAAGGGGTGTGGGAGGTCTTTTTTTGAGGCAAGAGGAAAATAACCAGAGAGAAGCCACTGCAGGGATGACCTGAAGAAATGGCACTCTGCTGCAGACAAGGGGGGGCTTCTCCTGTCTCGGGGTGCTCCAGTATTGCAGCCGGGTCGCTGAGGTTTTGGGTTGGGGGACAAAGTGGGACTTTTCTTTGGGGGTGCGTCTTGAGGCAGCACAGGGTCTCTGAAGTCTTGGGCCACTTAGGAGTAAGGAGGTTACCCCAAGAACATGGGGTAAGGACTCCCTTCTAAGTGGGCTTCTGATGTTCTGGATGGGGCATGGAGGGGGGGTTTCTATCAATGGGGCTATGGGGCCGACACCCCACCTGAGGGGCTAAGTCCTGGGTGGTTCTGGGTAGGTCTTCTTCCTCAGAGCCCTGGCTGCCCACTGTGAGGTGGTTCAGCTTGCCCGCCAGGTGCTCCAGGCCCTCCCTCAGGATTTGCATCGCCCATATGGCCTGCTTCAGCTCGGCCTGGGCCTTAGCCTTCCGCTGCTGCTCTGCATTGAGGCTACTCTGCAACACGGCCTGCAGCCTCTGTTCACTGCAGAGAATGGAGAAAGAGCTGTGGGAGTGCAGAGGACCCCGGGCCCTCACCCTCTCCCTCCGGCACTGGGACCTCACCTCACTAGCATGGCCTCCCCTGAGTACTTGTGGTCTTCGAGCTCCTGCTGCAGCTGCTCCTTCTCTTGCTTCAGTTTCAGCAGCAGCTCCATGTTCTCATTCTTGAGCATCTCCAACTGCGTGAAGGTGTCGCTCTGCGCCAGGAACCGCCGCACCACCGCCTAGGGCCCACCCAACCCCAGTCAGAGCAGGGGCCTGGACAGGTCCAGCTGCCACCCTCCTCCTGAACCCCAGGGCAAGAAGAGCAGGTGGCACAGCTGACAGCTTCTGCATAGTGATGCGTAGGGACTCTGAATAGGACTCAGGGCTGCCTCACAGGTGGGTAGCCTGGGACAAATATTTGCTGAGCCCTTCCCTCTCTATATCAGGAATTTGAATCAGCCAAAAATCAGCGGGTGAGGCAGGGTAGCAGTGACCATAGCTTCTTTCCAAAATCAAGGTGCCAGCAACATTCTGGGGAGTGGGGGGGAATCTCGCCCAATCCCATGAGGAAATACTGGCCTGCTGTGGGAGCAATCCTGCCACCAGGCCAATTTCTGAAAAGGCACTGGCCACAGTGCCTCAGATGACACCATAGAGCCAAGTCCTGGAACCCTTGGGGGTCATCCCATGAGAAGAATGGAGGGTTGGGGAGTGCCCAAAGTGGGGGAAACAGACTGGGGTCCAGCAGGATCACTGTTTGCCAGCAGGGAACATAGAGTCTTAGAAAATTTCAAGCAAGACATTGCAAAAAGGGGGACCAGGGCAGGGGTTTGGCTTGCCCAGGGTCTAGGGTGGCACTGGGCAGTTTGCTGGGCCCTAGACCATGTTACAGGTGATGGAGACACAGGACAGACAAAACTCCCAGCTTTCACAGGGCCTCCAGGCCAAAGAAGTCAGTGTCAATGGTGTAAGACTGAACAGAAGGAGAGGAAATGGTGAGTACAGACGGTGTGCATGGGTTCTGTTGTAAGGGGCAGCAGAGAAATGGAGCGGTAGCTGAAGGGTTGTCTTTTAAGGGAGCACGTTTGTGTGCTGAGGAGTTGATCCAGGGCACAGGGCTGCGGGCAGCACTCACGTGCGTTTCGGCCACGCCAGTGGCGTCCTTGACCTTGCTGAAGAGCATCTCCATCTGGTACATGCTCCAGCGCAGCTGCACATCCTCCTCCTTGGCCTTCCGGTTGTCCTGGATCGTATCTTCGGACTGCAGCAGCACGTGCTCTCGCTGGGTCTGCTCCAGGTTGAGGTCGGGTCCAGGGTCAGGTTGTGGACAAGGGCTTAGGACAGAGGCCAAGAAAGGGTATCTGGACAGGGGTCAGGGAATAGGTGGGGCCCAGTCTGGGGGTCCCGGGCAAAGGCTTAGGTCAGGTAAGGGCAACCAAGCAGGGATCAGGAGTGCGGGACAGGGCCTTGGTCCTGGCACCCCCGGGTACACCCACCTTGCGCTCCATGCGTTCGTTCTGCAGTTTCTTCTCGTCTGCGAGTTTCTTGAACTCGGTTACATAGTGCTCGCGGTTCTTGCGCTCTCGGAACACAGTCTCCTCCAGATACTGCAGCTGACTCTGGAGGGCAGGCAGGGGGACAGCAGGACCAGTTGGCATCTACCATGGCTCAGGGTCAGAGCCACAGGCCCAACTGGGCCAGGGTGCAGGGTCCTGAGAGACAAATAGGAGTGGCTCTGGGACAGCTGCGATTCAGATGCTGGGGCCAGGAGACCATGGTGTCTGGGTAGGATTCCCAGGGACCAGTGAGCTGGCACCTTGGCAGTGTTCTGGGTGTTGAGTGCCTCCTGGTTCACCACGCGCATCTCCTCCAGTTGATGTTTTGTCTTCACCACCTCACTCTCCATGGAGTCCAGACGGTTCTCGAAGTGAAGGCTCTCTTCCTGGGGTGTGAGGAGTGGGGCAGGCCTGTAACCACTGTCCCGGGCCAGGCTGGCCCTCCCACTTGCCTCCCCGTCTCCAGCCATTCTGGTCCCTACCTGTAGATAGGCCTTGAGCTGCAGGTACACATTGGTGATGTGTTCCGCCTCCTCCGCCTTCATCCGAGCCTTCTCCAGACGGTTCTCCAGGTTCCGCAAGATCTAGAGGGAAACAAGGCTGGGCTGAGTCCCCTCCACCCTTAGTTCCTCCTCCCCCCTAGATCAAGAGCCCCTTCTTACCCGTCCACCTCCCAGCCCTCCACACCTCACCGGCCGCACCTTAGCCATCTCAGTGTTGCTATCTTGCACCTCTTCCATCTCCAGCTCACGTAGGCTGTGCTGCAGCTGGAGCTCCTCCAGCCACTTCTGCCGCAATCCCATCTGGTGCCGCAGACCATTCCGTTGCTTCACCTTCTCACTCAGCCGGTGGTCCAGGAGCTCCAGGGCCTGCTGGAGGGAGGGGAGCGAGAGCAGGGGTCTGAACCCCGCCAGGTCCTTCCTGCAGAGCTTCCTTCTCCCATATTTTGGTTCCCATCTATCTCTCTTGTCTCTGAACAGCATCTGACCCTCCTCCTGCAGGTTTTCTATTTTGGTGGCTTCCAGAAGCCCATTCCCTGGTTTTCCGCCCACCTCCCCGTTTGCCCCGTGCTTGTCTCCTTTGCCTTTGGAGAGACAGCCCCAGGCTCTTCTCTCCTCTGTCTACACCCACCCCCATCATGATCTCTTATCCAGTCTCAGGGCTTTAAAGGTCACCTGTACACTGAAGACGCCCAAATTTAGCCTTCCCCTGAAGGTCAGGCTCATGTATCCATATCTACACTGCCTTCCAGATGTGTCCACAGGCACCTCAAACCATTGTGACCAATTTGAGGACTTGATCTTTCTCCAAACCTGCCCTTCTCAGTCTTCCCATCTCCGCTCATGCTCGCTCTCCTTCCTTCCAAGTGCTCAAGTCCAAAACTGAAAACTGTCACCCCACTTCTTTTTCTCTTCCTTCTACATACAAGTTGTTAGCAGTTATCTGTTCTATTTCCAAGGTTGCCCCCGAGATTCTTTCTTCCTGTCTACAGCTTTCACCCTAGTGCCTCCAACACCATCTTTCACCAAAATGACTTCCTCCTGGCTTCCGCTCTCGCTCTCTCTGTCATTTCCCACTTACCTGAGCCTTAGCATATAAAATCCGCTCTCTTCATCATGGCCTGCTGCAAGATTCGGCTGCTGGTGACTTCCCTGACCCCCCTCCTACCAGGCTCCCCTCCCTCACTCCCATCTAGCCACACTGGCCTCCAACACTTCACACCTGTTCATACCCCAGGGACTTTGCATTTGTTGTTCCCTCTGCCTGGGGCATTCCC